AGAGGGCGCACGCGGAGAGGGCGGAGAGGGCGCCCACAGCACTCCCACTGCCCGGCCTGCTCACCCGGCCACGGCCCTGCACTCAGGAGCCTCGGAAAACCTCCGTCAGCTGCAGATGCAGCCAGGCTCCTCGTGAACATTCACACAGTAGAGACTCACGTAAAGTAAGAACTTTAAATATCCCTCACTCCCCAGGAAAACTCTGTTCCCCGGGCTGAAAGCCACGTACACAATAATTATTCTTAAAAGCCCGAATTACAGAAGTGATGTATATTCTTTAATTAAAGACACTACAGACACAAAAAGCAAAATCCACTTCTTGTTCAAGCCCCACCCCCAGGAGTCCCCGCTGTTGACAGCTTGGGCTTTGTCCTCTGGCCTCTGCTGGGCATTCGTAGGACGGCGGTCACTCTCCAGGCGGGAGGACAGTCTGGTTTCTGTGGCGAGGGTGTTACTGTGCCTGGACGTGCGCCCCTCCCCCAGCCACCTCCTGCGGGCGCCTCCCCGGGCCACCGGCCTGGCTGGGGGTCCAGCGCTGCCAAAGGGCCTCCAGAATGTGCCCACGTCTCTGCTCCCTCGGACAGCGCAGCTGTGAGCGGTCATGCCGGCCGCCCATCCTTGCGCACCCGGGTTAGGGGTTCTGTGAGGATTCCACAGGGAATCATTGTCGGGTCCAGGGAAAGATGGCCACTCAGTGTGGTGGTCAGGAATGTGGGCCCTGGCGCCTGGTTTAGGCCAAGCCTGCCCTCACCCCCTCAGCACACGGCTCGTCTCCGCTCCTCCCTCGGGTCGATGTGTGTGGAGGCTGAGAACAGGGCCTGGCCCTGTGGAGGGGGCTGGAGCGCAGACAGGAGCCGGCAGGACGTCTGCCCAGGGCCTTCCCTCCTCGCTGAGTGGACTGCGTGCCAGGCCGGGCACCCCGCCTTCCCCCGGCCTCTTGGGCCTGACCTGTCAGCTTTCGCCTCAGCGCCTGCCTCACAGCCTTTGCTCTGGCTGTTCCTCTGCCTGAAGTGCTTGTCCCCAAGACGCCCAGGGCCCACCCCCTCACTCCATTCAGCTGGGGCAGGGGGCTGCATGCAGACCTGCCTCGCCCCAGGTCTGGGGGTGTAGGGGGGTTAAGGAGCTGCCACATTCTCCGAGCCGCTGTGCCCCTCCACACCCACCCCAACACTGCCTGACCTCGGGAAGAGCAGAGCCAGATGAACTGCAGAGGGAAGGCGCTTCCTGCTTAACCACCATCCCTCCCGCCGTCCCAGGAGTTCACGGACCTCGGGCACCGGATTGACTGTCTGGACCTGAAAGGTGTGTCTGGGCAGAGGTGGGAGCCCTAAGGGGTGGGCAGGGCCAACCTTCCCTAGAGGTGGATCCGAGGGCAGGATGAGCCGGGGCTGCTGGGGTCAGTGGGTCCCCCCAGAAGAGCTTAGCCGGAGGAAGGTGGGGGTGAGAGCCCTTCCTCAGGGGGCCTGGAGCCCGGTTTGCACCCAGCCCCGCACCACACAGACATGAGCTCACACGCACGCACGCGCTCCGTCCCTCCCAGGTGAGAAGCTCGACTACAAGGCCTGCGAAGCCCTGGAAGAGGTCTTCAAGAGGCTGCAGTTCAAGGTCGTGGATCTGGAGCAGACAAACCTGGACGAAGATGTGAGCATCTCTGCCACCACCCTCACTGCTTCCTGAGCTCCCTGGCTTAGAGGTTTGGGGGCTGGGCACTGCAGGAGGAGGGGACCCCCTTGGACAAGGGCTGGGCAGGGCCTCTTGAAGGACAAAACAGGGATATCCAGTGTGACCAGGGTGGATGGGAAGAATGGGGCTCCGGGCAGGGCCCAGAGAAGGGGTCTCCCAGACCCCCCGAAAGGCAGGGGCTTTGTAAGGAAGGGAGAGACTTGGGGAGCCAGGCCAGAGGGAGGCTTGTGGCCACCTGAGCTTTTTCAGGAGTGTCCTGCCCGCCCCCTCCCCCATCATAATGTCTGCAGGGGAAGGGGTTTGAGAAACTTCCTTTTTTCTTTCACATTGATTGGTTGCCTCTCACATGCACCCTGACCCAGGATCGAACCCGCGACCTTCCGGTACACGGGGTGATGCTCCAACCAACTGAGCCGTACCAGCCAGGGCAGGTTGAGAAACGTCCGAAAGCAGCTTCCCCACTAGGCCTAGGTATCCCCTCCTCCCTCTGGAGACTTGGGGGTCACCAGGATCCCCGGAGCTTCGGCCCCAGGTCTAGAAGACACAGGAGAGCCAGGGGCGGGATCCTAGAGAACTGAGTCCTGTCCTGGTCACACCCACGTCAGTCCTGGGGGCACGTCCAGGGCTTTTCCAGGAGATGGAAGGGCTGGTTCAGAGCCCAGGGGTGCGGGAGCGGTGTCAGGACTCGGCTCCTACCTCCCGGGTCTGCGGCCTCCGCCCGAGGCTGAGCCGTTGTCTCCGCCCCAGGGCGCCTCCGCCCTCTTCGACATGATTGAGTACTACGAGTCGGCCACCCACCTCAACATCTCCTTCAACAAGCACATCGGCACCCGGGGCTGGCAGGCCGCCGCCCACATGATGCGCAAGGTGGGTGCCTCCCCCGCCACCTCTCCAAGTTTCCAGGGTGGGGGGAGCTCGGGCATAGAGGGGTCCAGGTGCTTTGTCAGGGCACCCAGCTCCTTAGGGGTGTCGGGCCCCACCCTCCAGGCCCTGTGTGAAAGCTGTACTAAGAGATGCCTTAATGTATCCCTTGGAGGCATCCATGGTCACCACCCCCACGTCACTCCCACGGGAGTCTCACCAGCTCCACCCCCGCCTCGCTCACCCAGAGGACCCCAGGCCAGGCCGTCAGCCCCAGCTGTAAAAGCAGATGGCCTTGCTGCTCACTGGGACTTGGGGTGCGAGGTCCCCCGGGGCAGGGAGGGCGGGGCCAGCCTAACCCAGCCCTGCTGCTGCCCCAACAGACCAGCTGTCTGCAGTACCTGGACGCCCGCAACACGCCCCTGCTGGACCACTCCGCGCCCTTCGTGGCCCGTGCCCTGCGCCTCCGCAGCAGCCTGGCCGTGCTGCACCTGGAGAACGCCAGCCTGTCGGGGCGGCCCCTCGTGCTGCTCGGTGAGCCCAGGCCCCGGAGGCTGGGTGGGGAGAGCAGCCCCTTGGGGGCGGGGACTGTTGGCTGGGTCCTGTGAGCCTGGCCAGTCACGAGCCCTCCCCTCCTCCAGCCACAGCCCTGAAGATGAACATGAACCTGCGGGAGCTGTACCTGGCCGACAACAAGCTCAATGGCCTGCAGGACTCGGCCCAGCTGGGCAACCTGCTCAAGTTCAACTGCTCCCTGCAGATCCTGGACCTCCGTAACAACCACGTGCTGGACTCAGGTGTGTGAGAGGTCACTCGCCCTCCCGTCACCCAGCACCCATGTGCCCAGTCAGGCGCTCCGTGTGCTGGGGACACACAGTGACCAAGACAATCCCAGCTCTGCTCTCGTGGGGCTCAGAGTTCACAGTGAACACAGACCACCCCAGGCACTGGGGACTGTGTAGGCTGGTGGTTACCACCCAGAGGAGGTTACTGCCCCGTCCAGGGGTCAGGGATCGTGTCCTGGAGCAGGGTCAGCTTGGTGGAGACCTGCAGGATGAGGTGAGGTATTGAACAGATAATTAAAATAATTACAATCGCCCTGGCTGGTTTGGCTCAGTGGATAGAGCATCGGCCTGGGGACTGAAAGGTCCCAGGTTCGATTCCGGTCAAGGGCACATGCCTGGGTTGCAGGCCCGATCCCCATTGGGGGGCATGCAGGAGGCAGCCAATCAATGATTCTCTCTCATCATTGATGTTTCTCTCTCTCCCTCTCCCTTCCTCTCTGAAATCAATTTTAAAAATAATAATAAAGTAATTACAATCTGGGAAAAGTGCCCTGAAAGGAAACGAGGTTGTTGGGACAAAAGGTCAGCTGCAGGCCCTTTAAGTCGCAGGGAGGGGACCTCTAGGTGGCCATGTGGGGCTGAGAGCACAGCCCACGGGTTTGACAGCCTGGGGAGAATCCAGGCAGAGGACAGCTGGTTCGAGGCGTGAGGTGGGAAAGCACTTGAACGGAATTTGGGGGAAAGCTGTGGTGAGCCAGGAGGTGGGAGGGAAGAGAAGGGGAGCTCTCAGCGGGAGGAACTCAGCTCCCTCCTGGGGAGGGCGCCTGGGCCTGGCTCACTGTTGGGCAGAGTCCCTGGCCTCAGCGTGAAGAAAGGGGAGGAGGGACAGGCAGAGTGGGACGGAGGCCAGTGCCTTCCCCATGGCAGCCAGGCCCAGACCCATGTTTACTGACCACCTACCCCGACCAGGCCTGTCGCCTCGGGCTCCCGGCTGGGAGACCTCTGCCCTCAGGAAAGCGCAGCCAAGATAATGAACAGGGAATGTGGTGATGTGCTGGGGGCGGGGGGCGGCGTTTTGGGGGGAGCAGCGGTGGGGGCTCAGCTGGTGGCAGAGGCTGCGGGAGAAGGTGATCCTCGAGCAGAGCTCCAGGCAGACAGGGAGGATCGGGAGCTGGGTGTGTGCCTGCCAAGGCAGGGGTGTCGCAGCAGGAGGTGGCAGAGCCGGGCAGACCCAGGGGAGGGTGGAGCCCACACCACTGACGGGACTCACCCAGGGGCCTCCACCAGGTCTGGCCTACATCTGCGAGGGCCTCAAGGAGCAGAGGAAGGGCCTGGTGACCCTGGTGCTGTGGAACAACCAGCTCACACACACGGGCATGGCTTTCCTGGGCATGACGCTGGTGAGTCCAGCAGAGGGTCCCCGCCGCCACCTCCCCCACCCCCGCGCCCAGCACTGTCAGCCGAGCTCCCGGTAGGTTCTGGAGGTTTCCTCTCCCTCAGCCCCTGCGGCCTTTCCCTGAGGGAGTAGCCCTCCATCGCGTCCGTCCGTTGGAGCCCAGCACCGTAGCCAGCACAGAACGTGTGCACCAGGGGAACAGTTGGTTACGATCTAGGAGCATCAGTAAGGCTGAGACCTTTTCATTACGCGGAATTTAACGCCAGCCCCCAGGGTACAGAGGCTCCACCAGGGGACGAGCTCCCCACCGCCGGGGAGTGGGCAGGCGGCTGGCACTGGGCAGGCTT